GACCTCCGTCAGCCCGCGCCGGCCGCGCGCCCCGCTCCGTGGCTCCGCCCCCGCACCGGGCCCTCCCCCGAGACGCCCCCTCCCCACGTGCGGGCCGCGCGGCTCGGCCCGGCCTCTGCGGACAGGACGGCCCGGCCCGGACGGCCCGCCGGGGGACTGGACGCGGCGGCGGCGCGAGGCTGAGCCGAAGAGCCTTCCGGAGGCTGCGGGACCCACGCGGGGAGGGATTACCGAGGCAGGGGGAGGGCGGGGGCCGGCACGGAGAGACCCCGGCGCCAGTGGCCGTGGTTCCCGCGGGAGGTGTGGAGGGGCTGTGAAAGGAATCTCCCAGTAATGAATTCGGTGTCGGGGAACCCGCACTCCCGCCCCCCAGCTTCACCTCCTTCCCTGCAGCCGCTGGCTCCTCTCCACAAGTACTGCGGGGACAGCTTCCCCCTGCCTCAGTCTGCACCCAGCCCCAGGGCAGCTCCCACATCCACCTCCAGAGGAGCCTCAGCTCCCCCACCCCAGCACTGCCCCCCCAAGCCAGCGCCCACCCTGCGTTCTCTCCAGCCTCCAGCGGCGGGTTCTGGGGCCCCAGGCAGGACAGTCCTGGCTGAGAGATGCTGACCCTACCCCACCCCCCCCCACAGAAGTGTCACCCTCTGACCATCTGCCTGAAGGCCTGTAGCATTCTAGAGACAGACCAGTTGGGGTCTGAGTCCTGGCCCAGGCTCTGTTTCCTCATTTGCAGAGCGGGGCAGGCCACCACCTCTGGACAAGGCTGCTGGTAGAATTTGGTGAGGATGGTACACATGACCAGTGGCCTGGCCCTTGCTTCCTGTGGCGCCAACCATGAAGCAGGTCTGGGAGGTGGGGAAGGGGAAGCGCAGGCACTGGCATCCCGGGATCACAAGGGCAGCTGGCCATTCCCTTTGTGGGGTCTCCCGTGAGGTTAGGGAGCAAGCCTAGGTCTTCTGGCATGTGCTGGCCTCCCAGGGGCGGTCCTAAATGCAAGGCCCTCCCGAACCTTACAGTGACCGATTTCTGGGTACCTGCTCAGGCCAGGCACTGTGCTGGTCACTTTATACATGAGGTTGGACTTATTCTCCTCATTTTAAAGGTGAAGAAACTGAGGCTCAGAGAAGCCAAGTGGCTCATCTGATGTCCTAGAGTCTCGAGGTCATGGGTCTGGACTTTGAACCCACGTTGGCCTCTGGACTTGTCCCAGTTCATCCTCTTATCAGTTTCGTGACCATGCGCTGGTCACTTTGTCTTTCTGAGTCTGTGTCCCCCACAGGAAGATGAGGGCAAGCATGAGGTTCCTGGAGGATTCACCGTGATGGTATCCCCAAAGCACTTCACGCAGGACTTAGTACATGCTCAATAAATGGCTGCTGTAGATACTGTGATAGTTTTAGGTTTCTCTGCCTGGGTGCTTGGCATCTTTCTATCTACAGAGTCTGGCAGTGTGACTAGCATACAAGAGGAACTACAAAAAAAATAAAAATAAGAAGACAGCTACCGTCATTACTCTTATGTATGTTTTGGGCTCGTCAAGGTAAACCATGCTGACCTGTGCCTAACATTTGCAAGGCCTGGGGCAAGAATACAGAGGCCTGCATACTGAATGTCTGAATTTTTTTTTTTTTAAGAGACAGGGTCTCTTTCTTTCTGTCATCCAGGCTGGAGTGCAGTGGTGGGATCACAGCTCACTGCAATCTCCAACTCCTGGGCTCAAGTGACCTCCTGCCTCAGCCTCCCAAGTAGCTGGGGTTATAGGTGCACCATCACACCTGGTTAATTATTTTGGTGCTGTTTTTCATTTCTGTAGAGATGGGGTCTTGCCATGTTGTCCAGGCTGGTCCTGAAAATCCAATCTTCCTGCTTGTGCCTCCCAAAGTGCTGGCCTTACAGGTGTGAATCACTGCACCCAGCCTGAATACTTAAATGTTATAAATCATGCCAATAATCTACGAAATAAAACATGTCCTATCCTTCTACCTTGACAAATACACCTTCATCATGACCTGAAAGTCCAAGTTAAAATAAAATTCTTGGATTCCTTTGGATAATAAACTGACCCTTGCCTGCAGCTGCCTGCATGTTCTCTGCCTAGCTCCAGCACTATCCACACCCCACAACAGGCACCCCTTAGTCCTCAGACCTAGGGGTGGGCACCCCACCGTGTGGCCCACCCTCAGGAGGACAGACCCGGGAAGAGGGCTACACAGATTCTGGGAGTGGGCTTGGAATTCTGGGGTCCCAGGCATGTACTCAAGAGTGTGGTCTAGAAGCACCTGGGCTCCAGGTGGGCTCCTGGTCATGGCCCCAGAGGTTCCTTACCTGAGGGGTGGAATGTGGCAGGAAGAGGCCAGAGCCTTCCCCTTCTAGGTTAGGCTAACGTCCAGGAAAAGTCAGGAAGCCCCAGATCCAATACTGCCAACCGGTGACCTTGGACAAGTTCCTAACGCTCAACTGCCTCATCTGTTAAATGGGCCAGCAGCTCTGCTTGCAGCCAGGGCTGATGGGAAAGTCCGCATGAAAACAGAGATGTGCATCTGCCTGGGGAGGACCCCCCAGCCTGGGGACTAGGGCGGCCGAGTAGGCAGCCGCTCTGGCTGGGGGATGAGGATGCAGAGGCGTGGGACTCGGGCAGCGCTCCAGGAAGTCAGGCCGGGGGTGGGGGGTGGGGGGTGCCGCTGAGCCAGCAGAATTGCTGAGGCTCAGCCTGGAGTGGAGCTGGCGGCAGCTCCACTGCAGCCCGGGCTGGCCTCCTTCCCAGATGCACGGCATCTGCTGGCCAGCCGCAGCCCCTTCCTCTGCCCACTGGCTGTGTGGCTGCTCAGGTGCTCTTGGGTGTCCCTCCCAACCCCCCAAGGCCCTGGTGCCTGGCCCTTTATGTGTAAAATGGGGATGATGAACGTGCTCTCCCCATGGGGTGCTGGAAGCACGAATCATATGTTAGCTGCCATGGTTTCTATCATTCCTGTGGGTGCTGCCTCTGTACAGCACTTAGCTAGTGCCTGGTACATTGCAGGGGATCAAAAACCACACACTCCTGCCCAGCAGAGATGCTGGAGCTACTTAGGAGGATGGGGGCCTGCCCAGTGCCTCAGCACCCCGAGGCCTGGGACACCTGCAGCCTCTGAGAGCTGTTCCCCTGCCCTCAGCCTCCGTCCAGAGGCCCCACAGAAAGGCAAGCGGCTCAGGTTGCTGGGGACTGGTGGGACCCTACGCACCTGGCCAAGCCTGCCTCAGCCCACCCTTCTCCCCTGCTCTTAGGTTCCCTCACGGGTTTAGTGGTCTCCAGCCTGCAAAGGCTGGTGTTCTCGGGGCTCCTCTCCCAGCCTTGCAATCCCATGTGTCCATCTGCCATTCCCCAAGCTGCCTCTGAGCCAGGCGTGGAGCCAGCCTCAGCCATCTCCTGTCCACTTCAAGAGGGAGAAGAAGAGGACGTATGAGGTGCCAGGGCTGCCCAGGAGGAATCCCCCTGGCCAGAGGGGGAAAGATCAGGAGAGAGCTGAGCCCACGGGATAGGGCCTGGCCTAGAGCTGGGCGAAACCGGGTCCTACCATCTTCCAGTCGTGTGCTCTTGGATACCCGGTTCTACGTCTTTGAGCCTCCATTTCCTCGTCTCTGAAATGAGGGTGGTTCTTCCTCAGCAGAGTTGTTGTGAGGACTTGATGTGTATGTAATGTAGGTAAAACGCTCATCCCAGTTTGGCGGTTCCTGCGAAAGTTGAACACAGAGTTGCCATGTGACCAGCAATTCCACTCCTAGTACATGCCCAAGAGAAACGAAAACACACACTCAGATGCTGGCACGTGAGTGTTCTTGGCAGCATTAGTCGCAATAGCCAAAAAGGAAGAAAAAAGAAATATCCATGGAAGGATGAATGGATGAATCACATGCGGTTTACCCACATGGGAGAATATTATTTAGCTACAAAAAGGAATGAAACACTCAAAAACATTATGCTGAGTGAAACAAGCCAGATGAAAAAGGCCATAGATTGTATGATTTAATATATACAAAGTGCCCAGAATAGGCAAATCTGTAGGGACTGAAAGCAGATTAGTGGTTGCCAGGGGCTGGGCCAGGGAAGGGAGGATGGGGAGTGCCTTTTGGGTTGATGAAAATGTTCTGGAACCAGATAGAGGCCGTGGGTGCACACACTGTGAGTGTACTAAGTGCCACTGAATTGTTCACTTTAAATGGTTAATTTTATGTTACGTCAATTTCATCTCAATTAAAACAAAAACACCCAGCACAAAATCCCACACAGAATAAGCCCTCAAAATGCTATTACTTATAGTCCCAGCTACTTGGGAGGCTGAAGTGGGAGGTTTACTTGAGCCCAGGAGTTCGAGACCAGCCTGGGCAACACAGCAAGATATCTCTACCAAAAAAAAAAAAGCTATTAAAGGTGCTGAAAACCAAGAATTTGGCAGGGAAAGGAGTAGAGGGAAAAGCATCCCAGTCACGGGCAAGGGCTCAAAGAGGACGATGTGTCCCCTCTGGCTGGAACACATGACCTGAGGAAAGACAGAGGAAGCCACAGCTCCAGCAGGGCCCAGACCCATGAGTCTGGAGGGTGATAGAGACCCTCGAAGGCTTCTAACGGGGTGATAAGATCAGACTTAGGTTTTTGTTCTATTGCCTGGGCTAGAGTGTGGTGGCGTCATCGCAGCTCACTGCAGCCTCGAACTCCTGGGCTCAAGTGATCCTCCTGCCTCAGCCTCCCAAAGT